CTTCCAAAAAGGGGAACGGCCTTGACAACGTTAAGGCAGATTCCTGACGACAGGCACGTCAAACAAAGGTAGATGCAATAGCGTGCTCAAATCACATTTCAACCCTGATTGAAAGAAATGGCACAACAGGCTGAGGCCCAACACTTGCTCACTGTGACACTTGTGTCAGAGTTTACTCAAATCCACTCAGTTCAAGGCTGGGCTTTTCCATTCAGAGTCCTTACCCATCCACCAGGAGACTCCACTGCACCTCATGGTCAGGGGCTGGCACAGGAGTTGCCCAACAGTCACGCAATCTCAGGACAAGCATTGGGTCAGTGCGATCCTTCACACGAACCTCAACAAACACCGACTCCCGAAGGATTCTCTCAATGGGGTAGTCACTGTCCTTGTACCACAGCCTGTAGTTGCCATCTGACAGAAACAAGGAGAACAAACCAGTCACTCCCTGAAGGAATACATTCCTGGTGCTCTATTACCAGGGCAGCACTACCTTTTGCTATTTGCAGTTCCAGCCTCAGAATCCCATCTTCAGAAGCAGCTAGTGGTGGAGGGAGTGTGTAAACTGAGACGTTGATCTGTAAGCCAGCTTCATGCTCCCCCTTGTACTGGCACTGGACGTGCAGGCTGTCGAGAAACACAAATAGGTAGTGGAGTTTCAGTCAGTAACCCTTCCCTCAACATACCAACAAACCCCACTGCCCTCTCACCTGAAGGTGCTGTCCCTGGTTATTGAGCCCTGTGGCCCAGTCTGAATCAACCTCTTCCCCAGGATGTCCGTTTCATACACAAAGCTTCCAGTCTCCTCCTGCAATGGAGGGCACTGTTTAATAGGGAGCTGGCCCATTCAGAAGGGACAGAATGCTGGACCCTCCAATACTCACCCGCTGGGTCGAGCCACAAGAGGTAATTGGGAAGCGGAAGGCTACAAGTTCCTCTGTGATGAGCTTAGGCCTGCACTCAGCTTCTCGTCCATCTTTCACGTACAGAGATGACAGGTTGAGGGCAGGACGGGTCAGATTCCTGGTGATCGCTAGAATGAACTGGCCATCTGCTGTACACACTGTAAAGAGAGAGAAAGAAAAGGTATTCAGTTTCCCCATTGGTTGTTGTGGCCTGCAATCATTGACAGAGAGAGACCAAGATTGAAAGACCAAAAGCTTCAATAGTTATTGCTGCTTGGAATCCAGTCTACATTTTTGTTAAAATTTGTAATGGAGATAAAGAAAGTTAAGGCAGATCATTTGCCTTTTGAGTGTCAGGCCATGTGACCATCTAATAGAGGCTGGAGAGTGTTCTGCAAGACTGAAACATTTGGTATTCAGTTAACCTCGGAACACCATAACCGAGCCTTTTAAGGGAGGAAGGAGAAGCTTAAAAAGCCACAGGAATTCTAAGACCGAAAGACAAAAGCTAAAGCAAACATGCTCAAGAGAATGTAAATTCATATGTGTATTAGGGGCAGGATGTGCTTGAATGTCAGTTGCATGGGCACAAGGTCCACATGCAGTAGCAATGTCTGGAACTGACAGTGAACAATGTCAGCCTGTCCATCACAGCTCCTAACCCTGGGGCAGATGCACATGCAGCTTAT